ATCTCCAAAGGTTGGTGAAAAAGGAACAAAAAATGCTTATAAAGTAAATGGGAAAGGCAAAAAAGAATGGAGCTGTACCTGCATTAATGAAAGAAGTCTGACAAACAAGATGCGTGATCTGGAAGGTCATGTAGGGGGTGATAGATTGAACAACATTAGCATCACAGACATGGTGGAATGAAACTAATCAATGGAATACGTATCTGGAAGGTTATAAACTGTTTAGGAGGGACCGTATCAGGAGAAGAGGAGGTGGTGTGGCATTTTATATAAGCTCCATTAGTGAGAGAGAGGATATAAAAAAGGAAAGGGCAGAGACAGAATCACTTTGGGTTGAATTAAAAGATGGTAACAGGTGTAAGCTATTGCTGCAGTTCTGCTATAGACCCCCAGGCAAGGGTAAAAGCCTCAATCTGGAACTGGGGTGAGATAAGAAAGGCTACTAATAAGGGACCAACCATAGTGGTTGAAGATTTTAACTTATCCGAAATTGATTGGGATAATAATGTGTCTACTGGTAAGATAGGGAAGGGGTTTCTAGAGTTAAAGGAAGACTGTTTTATGACTCAGTTTGTAAAAGAGCCAACAAGGGGAGATAACATCTTGGATTTGATAATGAGCAACAGGGACGACCAAATCTCCAACATAACGATAGGAGAAGCATCAAGAAATAGCAATCACAATGCAGTCGCATTTGACATCACAAGAGTTTATGAGGTTATAGAAACCTAAACAAAGTCTAGTTGGAGTGGGCCTGTCAGCCTTAAATATGGCAATGGAAGTGGAGGACCTACGGAGTTCCTTCAAGGAGGTGATTATGAAGGCAATGGAACAATGTGTACCCATGTGAAGCAAAGGTACCAAGCTTAAAGGCACTCCTGCCGGTTGGACCAGGCTACAAAGCCAATCATAAAGTCGAAAAGAAAGTATTCAAGGCTATGAAAGAAAATGGCACAGAAATAAGTCTGACTCAATACCAGAAGGTAGGCCAGGACTGCAAAAATGGCATCAGAATGGCTAAGAAAAGCTTTGAACACGGCAAGAGTTGTGAGGGACAATAACAAAAAGGTTTTTAGTTACATTGAGTAAAAGAAAAACAAGCAATAGAATAGGGCCACTGAAGGTCGGTTCGGGAGACAACATGACAAATAATGCTGCACAGGCTGCAATAGAGCTAAATACATTTTTTGCATTAGTCTTTACCAAAGAGGAGATGGGTAACCTCTCTGATCTGGAAAGAGAATTCAAGGATGTCGCAGCGAAAAGTTGCGACACTATTCATATCACTACCAGCCCAGTTGCCAAACAGCTGTGTAAACTTAAGGTAAATAAATCTCAGGGGCCGGATAAATTGCATCCGAGGATCCTGAAGGAACTAAGGGAGGAAATCACACAAACACTGGCATAAATCTTTCAAAAATCCCTGAATACTGGAGAAGCGCTGGGAGACTCGAAAAAGGCAGATGTTACTCCTATTTTTAAGAAAGGTAACAAAAGTGACCCAGGAAATTACAGACCATTAAGTTTGACATCCATTGTAGGTAAAATTATGGAGACTCTCATTAAGGATAAAATCATGGAGCATCTGGACAGAAATAAAATCATAAACGATAGCCAATATGGGTTCACGAAGGGAAGGTCTTGCCAATCTAATTTATTGGTTTTCTTTGACGGTGTTACAAGGGAGCTTGATAAGGGTAAGATTGTGGATGTTGTATATCTGGATTTCAGTAAGGCCTTTGATACAGTTTCTCGAGAGACTGGTACTGAAAGTAAAGAAAGTGGGAATCAGTGGAGGTATATTACAATGGATATGCAATTGGTTGACCACAAGAGCCCAGAGAGTAGTGGTACAGGGAATGTCATCAGACTAGGAAAATGTTACCAGTGGAGGTCCGCAAGGGTCGGGTTTGGGACCTCTTTTGTTTAATATTTTTAGAAATGATCTGGAACTAGGAATCTGAAGCACATTGGCTAAGTTTGCAGATGACACCAAGCTAATGAAGGTGGTAGATTGCGAGCTGAAGAAGGTTGGTTACAGGAGGATTTTAAATTTCTTGGGAATTTGGCAGATCAGTGGCAGTTGAAATTCAGTGTGGAGAAATGTAGAATACTTCACATGGGGACAAAAAGTCCTGGAAGGGACTATTATTTGAACATAAGGAAAATAAATATGTGTGGAAAATGAAAAGGACCTGAGGAGAGGCAGAGAAGCGAGGATTATTCTCCTTGGAGCAGAGAAGGTTAAGAGGAGACTTAATAGAAGTTTTCAAAATGATGAGGGGATTCAATAGGGTGAACAGGAGAAACTATTCCCACTGGCGGGTGGGTCGGTAACCCCAGGACACCGATTTAAAATAGTTGTTAAAGAAACAGAGGGGAGGGGAGGAGAAATGTTTTCACACAGTGAGTTGTTGGGATCTGGAATGCAATGCCTGAAAGGCCGGTGGGAACGAATTGATAACAACTTTTAAGAGTGTAGATCATTATTTGGAGAGGACAAGTTTGCAGGGCTATGGGGAGAGCGCGGGGGAGTGGGGTTGATCAGTGCTGTGGGGAGAGAGCGGGGGAGTGGGGTTGATCAGGGCTATGGGGAGAGAGTGGGGGAGTGGGGTTGATCAGGGCTATGGGGAGAGCGCGGGGGAGTGGGGTTGATCAGGGCTGTGGGGAGAGAGCGGGGGAGTGCGGTTGATCAGGGCTATGGGGAGAGAGTGGGGGAGTGGGGTTGATCAGGGCTGTGGGGAGAGAGTGGGGTTGATCAGGGCTATGGGGAGAGAGTGGGGCTGATCAGGGCTATGGGGAGAGCGGGGGAGTGGGGTTGATTTGGAAGCTCTTTTCAAAGAGCCGACACAGACACGATGGGCCGAATGGCCTCCTTCTGTGCTGTATAATTCTATGATTCTATGATTAATCAAGTAATAAAGTGGTCTGATTAACCTGAATCAGTCTGGTACTCAGTACTCAGGCCATGTTCATGCTGGAAAATTGAAGATTGAGAGGCGACATGATTACTGCTTTTAAGATTCTGAAGGGGCAAGACAATGTAAGTCATGACAATATAACTGGCAACTTGTCTAGAATAGTTAAACCAGAGGACACGGCATGCAATTGAAGGCGGTAAATTCAGAACGCATCTACGCGAACACTATTTCAGTGAGCGAATAGTGAACCTGTGGAACAGGATCCCTCGGAAGACCGTTGAAGCAGGAAGTGTTGATTTCTTTCAAACACAGATTAGATAGTTTTCTTTTAGTGAATAACGTGATGGGATATAGTACATAGGGGTCGCATATGTGTATGCGACCACCAGGAAGGTGGAAGGCGAACTAGATGGAGTTTGGTCTTTTTNCCTCTAGCATTTCTTATGTTCTTATGTAATGGTTTGTTTCTGTGCTGTGTATTCTATATAGTTCTTTGTAATGTCTAAAATCCAAAGGACAACTCCTCCAACAATGCAATAATGTGGAGTCCTGTGGCTCAGTGGTTAGAGCACTCGCTTTGCAAGTGAGAGACCTGAGTTCAATTCCAGGCAGAGGGCGAAACCTTGGGCAAGTTTCCTTACTCCACACAGAGCCTAATAATAATCCCTCCAAAACCAAAACAATAATTAAATTGGTCATTTTCAATCTACGACTGTTTGTGGGACATTGCTGTGCGCAATTGGCTGCCGCGTTCGCCCACAAATATACAGTCAATTCACTTTACAGTGTGTTCTGTGAAGCGCTTTGGGACGTCCTCTCCCGACGTGAAAAGCGCTATATCAAATGCAAGGATTATTATTATTATTATTATATATTAATTATAATCCTGGCATTTGATATAGCGTTTTCCACGCCTTTGAGTGTCTCAAAGCGCTTCACAGAATAGACTAAAGTGTAGTGACTGTATATTTGTGGGTGAAACGCGGCGGCTGATTGATTAGTGGTTTTGGGGCCCAGAGCCCCAGTCACCGGGTTAGTCACACAGACACACAGGAAACCACCGCCCACCCGCCGGGCCCCGCCCACCCGCCGGGCCCCGCCCACCTGCCGGGCCGCGGCTCCCGGCGCCTCTCAGGTCGCTCTCTCCGGGTCCGTCGCCGCTTATGGTTTGGGCTTCCCTTCACTTCCTGTCAAGCGCTGCCGCCTCGCGCTGCATGCCGGGAGTTGTAGTGCCTCGCTCCGCCCGGGACCGGAAGTGGTGTGGCCTCGAGACCAGGCGCAGGCGCAGTGTGTTTGGCGGGCCGCCTGTCGTCACACCGTCCCTCGAGCTGCCGCGGCCTCTCAACCGTCACCAACCTTAACACACTCACTGACACACCAACCTTAACACACTCACTGACCTTAACACACTCACTGACCTTAACACACTCACTGACCTTAACACACTCACTGACCTTAACACACTCACTGACCTTAACACACTCACTGACCTTAACACACTCACTGACCTTAACACACTCACTGACCTTAACACACTCACTGACCTTAACACACTCACTGACCTTAACACACTCACTGACCTTAACACACTCACTGACCTTAACACACTCACTGACACACTGACCTTAACACACTCACTGACACACTGACCTTAACACACTCACTGACCTTAACACACTCACTGACCTTAACACACTCACTGACCATAACACACTCACTGACCTTAACACACTCACTGACCTTAACACACTCACTGACCTTAACACACTCACTGACCTTAACACACTCACTGACCTTAACACACTCACTGACCTTAACACACTCACTGACCTTAACACACTCACTGACACACCAACCTTAACACACTCACTGACCTTAACACACTCACTGACCTTAACACACTCACTGACCTTAACACACTCACTGACCTTAACACACTCACTGACACACTGACCTTAACACACTCACTGACCTTAACACACTCACTGACCATAACACACTCACTGACCTTAACACACTCACTGACACACTGACCTTTACACACTCACTGACCTTAACACACTCACTGACTGACAAACTCACTGACTGACACTCACTGACTTTAACACACTCACTGATTGACAGACTCGCCGACACACTCACTAACCTTAACACATTCACGGACACACTTGCCGACACACTCACCTTAACATACTGACATACTAACACTGACTTTAACACAACCTAAATAGACTGACTGACTGACACACTCACATTTACTGAGACACTCACTGACTGACACAATCGCTGACACACTCATTAACACTTGACATTTTTACACTGACTGAGTGACACACTTAGTGACACAGACTGACGCTCATACTGACCCTTGTCAGTCTGTCAGTATGACTCACTGACACAATCACTGACGTACTCATACTGACCCCAACACACTGACTCACTGACACACTTACACACACACTGACACACTCATACTGGCCCTGACACGTTGACTCACTGACACTCCCCTGGGTGTATTACACACAGAAGAAACAGGTTGGTATTTATGAAAGAATGCTTCATGAATGATGAGTTCACCCCCAGCTCGGGTGCATCTCCTTGACTGTCCAACTCTGGAACTCTCTTTCTCTATCCTTCCGTCTTGCCCCTCCTTCCCCATCTTCAGGTCGCGCCTGAAGACTCCTCTTTGACCGTTCCTACATCTAGGTCCTCCTGCCCCAGCTCGGCATTGTTACTCTACCACTGTCAAGCGCTCTGGTACGCTACTCTGCACAAGGGCGCTATATAAATGCCAGTTTTTGTTGTTGACCTGTACTTTTATCAGTGTATGTAGATTTGTTGCTCTGCAGATGTTCCTTTGTTAGAGTGTGATGGGTAAACGGAGGAAATCTCTCCATGCAGCTCCAGGTAAATATATCTCTCCCTCAAGCTTTCTTGTCTGTTTCAGTGTTCTGTCTTAACATCTACCAATCTGTGGTGCTTATGGCAATAGGATAGCTGGTGCAGCAATATGTGTCAATGCAATTATTAATTACCAAAAAGCTATAGTATGTTCTTGCATTTGATACATTGAAATGTGCCTTTGTTACGCCCGCTCCCTCCGCTCCACGTTCCCTGACCCACCCGCCCCACTATTGGCAGGAGAGCCTTCAGCCACTCTGCCCCCAACCTCTGGAACTCCATCCCCAATCACTCCGCCTCACCCTCTCCTCAGCCTCCTTCAAGTCCCGCCTCAAGAACCTCCTCTTTGAACGTGCCATCGGCCACACACCCCCTTCCCCTCCCCCCCCCAACCCCAGCTCGGGGCTGAAATGCTGTTCACTGTCCAGCGCCTCGCCTTGGGATGTCCTCCCGACGTGAAAGGCACTATATAAATGTAATCTTGTCGTTGTTAATATCTTCAATTTCTCTGCTCGAAGTGTGAACTTGCAAGGCTGTTTGAGTTTGTTAAACCATCTAAAATTGTGGAAAATTCTTAAATCCTGACTTAAATTAGAAATTAGTTTTGTTTTAAGCGCTACGGAGAGCCGGACAGAGGCGGACTGGGTATATGGCAAATATATGACATTTCCTGAGTAAATGGTTCCCGAATGCTATACTAATGATTTCCACCTTTTGCCTAATATTTTCTGTATCAGTCCTCAAGTCTGCTTACTATCTCCTTTGCAACATTCCTTAAGGTGTGTAGAAAGATGTGTTTTAAATTCAGCAGTGTTTTACTGTATTTAGCAGCTGTCTTCTGCTCCTGATAATGTTATCATTGCCACAGAGCTGTTAAAGAATGTAGCAAACTTCAATCGGAATCATTTCACCTCTTATTCTGACCCATCTTTGTGAAGGAGAGAAAGACGATGCACCATTGGCCACCGTAAGAAAGGTGAGAAAAAAATGCTCCATGCTTGGAGAAGAACAGATTGCAGAGAAAGAAGAGGCATCAGAATGCAAACACGGAACAGACCTCATCACTGTGACGAGTGAACAATCAGAGTCAGAAGCACAAGATATTAACCTTACAGAGCAAAGGTAAAGAAAGGTCAAGTTTTCCTCACCCCTATCCTTTCCACACAGGACAATGCAAATCTAGTGACCAGCACCTTGAAATCAGTAATGCTGAACCTTGCACAGTGCTTGAGTAGAATTTATTATAATTCTATTCATTGAAAGTGGAGATAATTTATGCTTTTAGTTTGGATTCATTTTTCAGACATAATATTTCTCTAGAGTCAATGACTGATAGCTCTGTTATGTAGATATTTGTGTGATTTAAAAGATTGGCAAATCTATTGAATGAATTAAGTCATCATTTTGTGCATAAGAACACAAGAATTCGCTAGGCGAAAGAAGACCAAGGTCCATCTAGTTCACCTTCCACAATCCTGGCAGTGGCTTGACATGTCGTGTCCCAAACTATATATCGTATCCTGAGATATTATTTTCTAGCAGAAATCTAAGTTTAAAATCCCTCATTGATTAAAGCTGCTTAATGCTATTCTACAAAAATAAAAGATTTTTCTCTAAAAATAAACGTGGACGTATTGCTTTGCTTCTCACTCACTAGGTTGTGTATTTGGAATTGAGTGATGTTTACTGCTCATTTGTGATTTCAGAATTGATCTGAAGCAGGGGGGTGAGAAAGGAAGCTTCACAGTGAACACATGCCAAGAGGGAGACCTATTTCTGCTACCATTATCTCAGGTGGGTTGATTCTCCAGCAGCAATTTTGTGCTCTGGCATTATTGAATTCTTATCACTGGAAGGCGATGGTGCACTTTACGCTGCTTTGTGACAAGTTCCACGGAGCTGTGTCCAGAACGTTGCAGAAGAAATTCCTATTGTGCTTTCAACGTTAGAACCTCTGAGGACTGTATTTTGCGGACACCATTTTGTGCACAACAAAGTCCTAAGACAGCCTTGAAGTCTAGTACTGAAGGTGCAGTATATTCAAAGTTTCTGTTAGTTTGATGAGACATTAAAATCAGTGCCTTTTCCAATTACCATTACCATCTTCCAATTATATTTGCTTTTCTATCTTATACTAAATAGTTTTGCTTTTCCTCTTTGCCCATAGAATTCAGCTGGAAGGTTTGTTCCTACCTTTGCAAAACCAAAGAAGCGTCTTTGCCGCAGCAGCTATGTGAAGCACGCAGCAACAGAGGTGATGCCTTACTTATTGCCTTACAGTATGTAAATATTGGATAAATCTGGTGTGCGTGAATTGTGTATGTCTTCTCTACGTTAGAGTGGTGTGCTAAAAAGATAGAAACATAGGGACGTACAAGACCATTGAAATTATGTGACTAGTCCCCAAATATGTATTTGAAAAATTATAAATAATTCTAGACTATGTAATTCAATCTGAACTGTTTGTTCACTTTCTCTCTCTAAGCTTTAGTCCGTGTCCCCTTGATCCATATTTTTCGACAAGGAGTACCTACCTACACTAATCTGATACACCTGATATTTAGTCAGATTCAACTTCATTCTTCAAGTAGTTTGTCTAATCCCCATTGAAATTACATCAATGACTTGGCTTCAGCCATCATTTGCAATAATACGTTCTCTTTTGTAACTTCAAGTATTTAGAAAGCTTCATGAAAAATATTCAGATTGATAAAACGAATAGGATAGTAAAACAAATGAAAGTAAAGCGACTTTGGATATGGTCTTATGTATTTTTTCTACATTTTATTAAATTTAATGATTTACAGAGTAAACTTGAAGAAGATGGCAATTCTCAGAACACATACCTTCCAGATTCAGACAGTAACTTTGGTACCAGCCACCGAGTGCAGGTATCACAGTCATCTCCAGAACGGATTGTGCTGAATATAACCAGTCAGGGAAATGCTGAGGAACTGTGCAGAAGTCAGCATGGAACTGAGGTTGCTGATGGGATAATGAAACTGGACTGCGATGAGGACGTAGTGATTGGAACTATGCAGGCAGGGGCTGAGCCAGCGGGATGTGAACAACAGAGACACAATCACACCGCAGCAAACAGCCTGGGAGAGCCTGAGTGTTCAGAAGCTGAGCAAGTCAACACCAGGTTCTGCTCCAGCCTTTCAACAGCAGCCACCGAGGAGCAGACTTCAAGCGATTGTCATGTGGAACCACAGCCTGGTCCGAAGGATGGTCTCACTGAACAACCAGAGCTTGAAAGTTCAGAAAAACCCTTACCCAACACCGAGCTCGGCCCTTCACAAAGCACCATCTGCCCGGCTGAGAACACGGGAGAAAATCTTGCTTCCAATATTGATCAAGTGTATTGTGAACAACAGTCTATGAATCAAACTCAAGATGGAACAGATAGGAAGATGTTGCTGGTGAACACTGAGACAGTCCAATCCCGTGACTCCCCATGCTTGGATAACACTGATGCCCAGATTAACACAGCACTAAACCTCACCGAAGAAATAGCTCCAGCTGGGAGCCAGCCTCAGAATCGGATTGGCATTGAACCGCTGATTGAAGGTCCTGATGGGGTTTTGCCTTTGGCAGATAAAGGAATGGCGGACTGCCTGGATGCGTATCAGCAGAAGGAAAACATTAAGGAAGAGGGACAAGGAAATATAAATAAAGATTTGGAATGGGGCTCAGACGGTCTGGGTGTTAATGGCTTTGTGGATTTATGGATGAAGCAGGTTCAGGCAGGAACCAGCACAGAAGCTAAAAATACAGACAAAACAATAGGTCCTGACAAAGCCGGTTTACCTGTGGAGGAGATGTTATGGGACATCACTGTGGAGGACTTGAGCTCACAGCCCTTGACTAGTGCGCAACATCACACCAGCTCACAGTGCTTGACCAGCGGGCAGCCCAAGGCCAGTGGGCAGCCAGATACCAATGGGCAGCCAGACACCAATGCGCAGCCAGACACCAGTGAGCAGCCACAGACCAGTGAGCAGCCACAGACCAGTGAGCAGCCACAGACCAGTGGGCAGCCACAGACCAATGGGCAGCCACCCACCAGTGGGCAGCCCCACACCAGTTCACACCGCTTGACCAGCGGGCAGCCCAAGGCCAGTGGGCAGCCAGACACCAATGGGCAGCCAGACACCAATGGGCAGCCAGACACCAGTGAGCAGCCAGACACCAGTGAGCAGCCAGAGACCAGTGAGCAGCCACAGACCAGTGAGCAGCCACAGACCAGTGGGCAGCCACAGACCAGTGGGCAGCCACAGACCAGTGGGCAGCCACCCACCAGTGGGCAGCCACCCACCAGTGGGCAGCCACCCACCAGTGGGCAGCCACCCACCGGTGGGCAGTCACAGACAGGTGGGCAGTCACAGACCAGCATCTCACTAGTATCCACTCCAGAATGTTTGCAAACTTTAGCAGAGAAACAAGGTGATATTTCAATGACTCTGCCGACTTTGAAATATGAAGCAATGGCATTCTATCTTGATAGCAATCACCAGAGAGCAGTTATCGGAGAGACTGCATGGTGTGATAAATCAAAAGAACACAACAGTATAACCATCGCTGGAGTCGGAGGCTGTGCTCTGTCTGTGGAAGATGTAGGTCCCTCAAGTATGGAACAGGAAAGCAAAAGTACTCAGTGTATGGTACCTGAGAGCGGGATCCAGAGGAACAGAAGACAACCAAACCTACCCTCCAACATGCAAACCGAGGTAAACAGTTTAAGTCACATAGGTTGGTTGAATGCAAAGAGCCTAGTTCTGTTAGATCTTGAGGAGGAGATTCTGGTAAAAAGGCGGCAGCGTTAATATTCCTAAATCACAGAAGTCCGCAAAGCTACCGCCTGAGCAAGTACATTTATCGTTTCTGGACACAACTCCTGTAAGGCGTGTAGCAGAATTCTATCATCAAAGACCCCACACAGAGGATGATCTCCCCTTTAATACCATAGCCTTACAATTTAACGGTGGAAAATTGTGGAACATTCTTAAATTCAGTCTTAATTTGGAAGCTGGTTATTAAAAAGAACTGCAGAAAACCGGCATCAAAATTGAGACTGTGTTTAAAGATTGGAAGAGAGAACTGAACACAGGAAATTCAAATAAATAATAATCCTTGCATTTGATATAGTGCTTTTCACGTCTTCTAGACATCTCAAAGCGCTTCACAGAATACACTGTAAAGTGAATTGACTGTATATTTGTGGGCGAAACACAGCAGCCAATTGCAAAATATAAGCCCAATTTGCACAAAAGCACTGACTGTGGTTCCATGGGTTTGCAATGATCGCAGTGCTTTGCTACTGAGCGCAAATTTGAGGATACCAATAATCAATAAATGGGTGTACACCTGAAAGATATAGCTGCTATTTCATTCATGATTTATCTTGTTTTCAGGTGGTCTGCCCATCCACTCCTGATAGGCTGCAGCCAGGTAATTAAAATTGGAGCTAAACCGGTTGGAAGTGATTTCTTCATATAGTGATGGTGGTGAGAAAACTATGCCCCAGAAAGGCTTTAGAGGCAGAATCAGTTGGGAAGTTTAAAAGAGAGAGATATAGATACTAGTGATGTAAGGGGATGAAATTATAATAATAATGTATTGGACCCTCAATCCATGACTATTAGTGGGACAGCTGTGTGCAATTGGCTGCCGCATTTTGCCCACAAAATATATAGTCAATTCACTTTACAGTATATTCTGTGAAGCACTTTGAGACATCTCAAAGACTTGATAAGGTGCTATATAAAATGCAAGGATTATTATTTATTATCTGGAGAAAATGTAGGGTTAAACAAGCTGCTGTAACATAATAAATTGTCAGAACCCATTTGCTGGGCTAAATGTCCTTTTATATTCCCAACCTTCCTCATAGATTCTGAGTTGCAGCTCACTGAACCAACGGAACAGCGAGATGAAAGAAAGGAGATCTCTCTGCCTGTTGAGCCTGTGGATGATGACACTACCTTTGGATCTGAGCTGGAAGACCGGGAGTTGAGGTAAAGCAAGTCACATAGTTATAGGATGGCCATACAATTGGTTTCGCCCATAAAATACACAGTCACTCCACTTTATAGTATATTGGAGTTCAAGGACAGATCAACCATGATCTAATAGAATGGCGGAACAGGCTGAATGGCCCCCTCCTGTTTCCATGTTGCTATATTCTATGAAGCGCTATAAAACATCTCAGTGATGTGATAAGCCGCTATATCAAAGCAAGGATTATTATTACATCTCCACAGCAAAATCTGTGTGGCATGACAGTCATGGCATATATTACCATTGATGGCTTGTGAAACAATGGCTTGTGAAACAATGTTAAATTGTTGAGAGAGATGCCTGAGATGTGCCTGCCCAGTTTCCATGGTGTGCCTCCTTCTTATTCTGAGGCCTGATTTGTAAATAATAATTCCAGTGCCTACAGTGTCAAAACAACTCAAAAACACCTTGCAGATAATTACTATCAAATATTGTGACAGTGTATTTGCAGACAAACATGGCGGACACAGAGATCCTACAGAAACAGTGGTGATGTGAATGATCCATTTGTCTGGAGGATTGTTGACAAAAAACATGTTTTAAAAAGTTGAGTGACACTAGGTGTGAGGATGCTAAGCATACATATAAATCCCTGTTATTGTTGTAGTGAAGCTGCATTGGAGTTGATGTCTGCTCCAATTGAGGAAGAGGATGCGACTGCCGTTGTCTGTGGTCTTATTAACGAGCTATCGAAAATGAAGTTAGTGAATTTTAAATCTTATGGATTGACAGGGATACTTTCACAATAGAGCAGCCTGTTCACTTGTCTTTGACATACTTGAGAAGTAATAGCCAATGTGGGTCCAGGTCTGCCATTTGAAACTCTGTAAAATCATAAAAGTTTACAGTAAATGGCGCTATCCACTCTAATCTTGTTTCCTCCTTTTCCCACACACTTTAATATTATTCCCATCATCTGATCTGAGGGTGTCCTGCACATTCTTGATAAGCAACCAACAGCACTTTAACCAATAAACATTGAAAACAATAGGTGTGAAATTAGTCAGCACTAAAAAAGCTTGTGTAAAGATAATATGTAGCTGGTTTCTGTTCCCGCCTCCTCCACTCAACCCACCAGGCTTGTTTAGCTGTCAGCAGGTTCTGCAGAAGAGTTCAATGAGGAATTCATGATGGCAGTGAGTACTTGCTACCTTTTGAGTTGGTGCCACATCTGACTGTGCTTGCGCAATGCGCTGCACATGGAATGGGGGTAGTTTGCCAAGTTCAGTATGTTTGCACACAAAGCTTAACTAGAAATGCTGTTGAAACGTCTGAGCCTGACCCCTTTTACATCGCCTAGAGGGCACACGCGGTAGCTGACACTCAGCGCATACTCCCAACATCTTGATATCGGCACTGGAGTAATGCTGTAATGTCTGAAAATTATTACGAAAATATTTTTCGCGATTTCTGCTCAAATTAGCTGTAGCGTTTGCTGACACCCACTCCACTAGAATATCCATTCTCCTGCTTTCCCTATTTGCACAACTCACATTCCTTTCCTTGTTACAGAATCCCATTAAGAAATACCACATTTGAAGCCCATCATTCTCTATTCTGATTGTAACTGTTTTTGGTGGTGGTTGTCTTCAGCCGCCTGATTATGGTTGCTCACAGGGAGCAAGAAAGACTGAAAAGGCAGAAGCAGAGGAAAGGGAAGGCTGCCGGGAGATACGCTCATACCCCACTGGCCACATACTCTGTGAAGAGGAAAGATCTGTGAGAAAGCCAAAAGACCAGCTCGCAGACCCTGGTAACTAAAGTTATTTGTTTCACTGAGAGTTTGAAAAGTTCATGTTGTAAAGACCAATTTGTATTTGCCACGTTGTTGAGCACGGATGTGCCAGCAAATTAGCAAACTAAAAATTAGTAATATGTTATCATTCTGGGTGTTTAATGCTTTGTAAGTGTGGGGAGCATAATTAGCATGTTTCTGTGTTGTGGGATTGCGGGCAGTGTTTGTCTGAATATGGTGCTCCACTCACTTCTCCATTGACCTGCTTTTGTAAAGGGAGGGAATGTTTTGATGGCCGTTGTAGCTCACTTTGAGGATTTAGTTCTTATTGTTGTCTTTTTAAATATAATGATTTGTAAGTATTCATTGAAATAAAGCATGTGTTCAGTTTGCTAATTTGTACACTGATTCAGTTTGTATGGTAATGCTTTGCTGGCTGGGGGTGGAAATATTATTTGTGCATTCTTCTTCCCCTCCCCCCCACCCCCCTGCCAACACCCATTCGGGAGTTGCGTATGGTTACTAAGAGATGACCTGTTTATTTGTGTTTAACAAATTTTTCTTTTTGATTGAAGATAGCGCCCCTTTGTTTTCTGGGCGGTATTTGTAAAAGGTTGAAATCACTGTTGGTAGTATCTGGTGATTAGCCAGTGGTTCATAGGCCTTGTTTGTATCTGGAGATTGCTCCCCTGCTGGAAGGTGTGTGTTGATTGAGTGAGTACAGTTGCGCTGTGAAGCTCCCCACATTCAAATACCCCGACAGCATTCACAGATGAAAAATGACAAGTTGAGCAAGGTACCTGAGGCTCACCTGGCACCTGGAGAACTGGAAACCGAGGTTGTCTCAGAAGGGAAAGAAAATTGGGATGTTCTAAATATTAAGCTGTAAAAGATTAATTATAATTAAATTCAATGAAAGTTTAGAATCTGATATGCGAGGAATCCTACTCAAAACGTTTGGTCTGTTGGAGTGTTTGCAACCACTCAAAACAGGTTCGGATTCGGTAATACCAACAGGTCAGAGTCTCAGGATGTTTTAATCAAAACAAACCTTTAATTATGCATACATGTGTTTAAAAAAAAGTCACATCTATCTTAATAAAACAGAGCAATACTACCGAGCATTGCAAGTTCAGCACTTTGTCTTTACAGCAAGCCAACGTTAGTTCTTCAAGCAATTTTTCCTAGCTTTCAGTCTTCTGTCTTCTTTGTCCGAGCTTTCAATCTTCGTTGTTCTCTGCAACCACTCAGCGATGCTCTGGAGTTAACTAACTTAAGTTGAACCAGGGTTTTTATAAATGTTTCTACCAGACCGAGACAAGCTCCAGCCTTGGAAAGGAGAAGAAAGATGTCCTGTGTTGAAGAATAATGAGCAAGCTGCTTTGTCTCAAAAGGGTCTGCTTATCTAGAAGATATGGGTACAAGTATGTGCAAGGGTCAAGTATGTTGGGTACGCGCGAAGATGCTTCATTGGAGAAGAAGCTTCATAAGTATTTTATGCCATTTTAACCAACTTACAACAGGTCTTACTCCAATGAATACACACAACTAAGATCCCTCTCCTTCAGTTCAAAGAACGTCCTCAAGTCACGGAAAAAATGTTCAATGTTTTATTCAGAGAAGAATCATCATATAATACAAATGTTAAGACAAATCAGACAAAGGGTCAAAAATGCGGGATTTTTAACAGGATTCCTTAAAAAGGAAGCCAAACCCTGTATCTCATCCGGTAACTCTCCCATTACTGTCCACATCTGGAATAGAGTTGGTACCAGAGTTGGCAAGATTGCTCATAGAACTTTGGAAGCCCTGTGTTTTAGACCCCGGTGTCTGTCTAGACCTAATATCAGTGACAGTGAATGTAACTTTGCCCCCATCAGCTGCTGATTTTGCCCGCAAAATATTCAGTCAATTCACTTTAAAATATATTCTGTGAAGCTCTTTGAGACGTCTCGAAGACGAGATAAGGCAAGGATTATAATAGGATTATTTATTATAAACCTTTACAGTGGGGATATCTGCCGCAGAATCGAGGATGCTCTATCGAGCAGCAAGTGGAATTTCCCACCCAACGAGCTTTCATCTGCCTCTGTTGCAACTGGACTTGCGGTTTGAGTTACTCTTATCATCTGCTTTCTTATCTTTAACATCAGAACCAGCACCAAACATCACAACTGCGCAACAAACTCTCATAGAGCCCAAATCAATCATTCTTAGCGTCTTAGCCAAATACTACTATCAAAAATGTTAAACAGTTTGAACATACTGTAGTTTATTGCCTTTCCTTTTTTAAAAAAAAGTTTTCAAATTAACAACAACAAGATGACATGTGTATAGCGCCTTTCATGTCGGGAGGACGTCCCAAGGCGCTGGACAGTGTAGAGCTTTTCAGACCTGAGCTGGGGTTAAGGGGGAGAAGGGAGGGAAGCGGAAGGGGGGTGACCGATGGCATAGTCGAAGAGGAGGGTTTTGAGGTGGGAGTTGAAGGAGGCTAAGGGGGGGGGGGCGAGGCGAAGTGACTGGGGGATGGAATTCCAGAGGTTGGGGACAGTGCCTGAAGCTCTCCGGCCAATGGTGGGGTGGGTGGGTGGGGGGACGTGGAGTAGGCCGGAGCCGGCTGAGCGGAGAGAGCGAGCAGGATGGTAAGGGGTTGGGGTGAGGCTGAGGAGGGCCGAGCCCATGGTGGGGCTTTGTAGGTGAGGACCAGGATCTTGTGAACTGGATCCTCTGAAGGATAGGGAGCCAATGGAGTCGGGCGAGAGTGGGGGAGATGGGGTCACGGAGTTTGGTGCGGGAGAGGACATGGGCTGCAGAGTTAGTTCTGGATTATCTGCAGCTGTGGAGGGAAGGGTTGGGAAGGCCGACAAGCAGGGAGTTTGCACAGTCGAGGCTGGAGGTGATGAAGGCATGAACAAGAGTTTCAGCGTCTGAGGGTGAGGTAGTGGCGGAGTCGGGCGATGTTATGGAGGTGAGGGAAGGCAGAGCGGGTCATGGCTTGGATGTGGGGAAGAAAAGACAGTTGAGGGTCGACAAAGACACCTATGTTCCTGGCGGGCTGGTGAGTTGGTGAGCTGTAGTGGGCAACCATGGAGGTTGATGCTGCCAGAGCCTGAGGTGCGGAGGCGCTGGCGTGAGCCAATCAGGAGGGCCTCAGCCTTGTTCACATTCAACTGTAGGGAATTTGCCCTCATCCAGGACTTGATGTCCGACAGACAGTCTGTCAGGACAGCAGTGGTCCTGGAGTTGAGGGTGGGGGCAGAAAGATAGAGTTGGATGTCATTTGCATACATATGGAAGTTGACCCCATGTCTGCGGATGATGTCCCCGAGGGGGAACATGTAGATATTAAAGAGGAGACAAGGACAGAGCCCTGGGGGCCGCCAGATGTGACAGTGTGGGGGCTGGAGGAGAAACCGTCAGAGGCAACAAAGTGGAGACGATGAGAGAGATAGGAATCGAACCAGGCAAAGGCAGGTCCGTGAAGATTAAGTAAATTAAAGGTGCAAGGAAGTGACATCAGGGTAACTTGGGAAGAATCTTCCCAGTTCCAGGAAGAATGATGAAGTTGGAAATTTAGTCTTTTGTTCACAATCATTTGGATTGTAGCTTCAGCCAGCTGCGTTTCTCAGTCCCTTCTCCTGCAGCGATGTGTAGCTGCCCTGGAACACGGGCACAGTTTGGGCATTGACCCTGCATTTCTGACCATACACAGTGTCCTGTTCTGTGATTGTGTCACAATTCAGATTTATTGTCGTGCATTTCAGTCCAGCCGAAGGGCTTTTCCTAACTAAGTTGAACTGTGACTGATCAGTGTCGCTGCTTGGCACACACTCTCCTTCGGTTCATGTTTGGGGATACCCAGTGACAACAGCTTCTCATGTCTGCTTATTGGATAGTCCAGCTTCTCTTAAATTGTTCACTGTGTGTTCAGATGTAATAATCTTTCCATGCGCTTTATTCAGTCCCAGATAATTTGTCCACAGGTCAAATTAAGCACTGACATCTCCAGTGTGTCTTGTCCAAAAGCTGAAAGTAAGAGTGTAACAAGTGTCTAATTGAGTGAGGAGTTTGGAGAGGTGGGAGTGGTTTGTACAGAGCAAAGGAGCTGGAATTGGCTGGAGATTGTTATCAGTCTCTGGCATGTTGTTCAGGGTCAGGGCAGGATAGTCCTCACTGATGTAACTGAACATGAGAATTGTGCAGTTTTACGGTGTAAAAAGGACAATCTTAAATGACAGCTGATCCGACTCCAGACAAATTTTGGGTCAAACATGTTTGGAAACTATATTCCTCAATACCTTTGTGTACATAGACTTGTACTTGCCCTGAAGAATTAAACGGTTCTACACCCCTATATTTACACTCATGGTATGGTTCGCTCCCCATCGCAGAGTGTACTGAGTGGCCTCTGTGTTCAATCCTCACTACTGAATGCAATTCCCTAGGTGTAACTTGACTAATGAATTTTTCCACGATAACAGGTACTACCAATTGCTATTTAAATTAAAGCGAATTGGGAAGCTTCTGTCCTCAGTCTTTTATTCTAAACAGACTATGACTTAGGCTCAATCTGTTTGTGTATTCCCTCTTTTAATTTATACAGAAAGCTCGAGAAAGCACGGTTAAGTAAACTCCACAGAATTTTATTGTAGTTTCGATGAAATCCACAACGCTCGGCATTAAATCTTAAACGACATGATAAATATAAATAAACACAACTATGAGATAACAAACATTAATCACACTTAAACTAAACACGCCAGCAGCCACTTGTAAATTAAGTTAATTAAAGTGCACGAAGAACCAACCTCTGACTACTATAGTATCAATAGTCAGAGCACTATTGTTATCAGGTACAAAAAAGCGACCCCAAGCACATGGCGTTCGTTCTTTTATGGGCATTGAGCTCCTCCCTGAAATAGAGTACTTAATAGTAATCGTATGTTAAACATGTTAAACATGTTAAACATGTTATCATGCTCTTCGTGCCTGTCACCTTGTGCATGGTGGTGGTTGTGGCAACCATCAAATCGGTTACTTTTTATACACAGAATGATGGCCAATTGTTGTACACTCCATTTACAGAGGACACGGATACCGTTGGTCAGCGAGCTGTGAACTCCATTCTCAATGCCATGATCATGATCAGCGTGATTATAGTAATGACTACTGCTTGTACTTCTGTACAAGTACAGGTGCTACAAGGTAATTCATGGATGGCTTATAATCTCTTCACTCCTGTTGCTTTTCTTCTTCTCCTTCATCTATTTAGGGGAGGTCTTTAAGACGTATAACGTTGCTATGGATTACTTCACGCTAGCATTAGTGATCTGGAACTTTGGTATAGTTGGAATGATCTGTATCCATTGGAAGGGCCCACTTCGGCTGCAACAGGCCTATCTGATCATGATCAGTGCTTTAATGGCGCTTGTCTTCATCAAATACCTCCCGGAGTGGACTGCGTGGCTGATCCTGGCTGTGATTTCAGTATATGATCTGGTTGCTGTGCTGTGTCCGAAAGGTCCCTTGCGCATTCTGGTTGAAACTGCTCAAGAGAGAAATGAACCAATATTTCCAGCTCTGATCTATTCTTCGACGATGGTGTGGTTGGTTGGAATGGCAGATCAAGAAGCCAGAGCAAGTTCACCAGCAGACGAGCATCTGACTTCTGCAAACATTAGTCTTAACAACACCTGTGTTGATGAGACTGCTGAGGGACCCACTAATGCAGGCGAGACCAATACCGATGATGGTGGATTTGATACAAGGTGGAGGTGTAACAGAGATGAAACATTGGGCAACGTTGAGTCCACTCCAGAGAGTCGAGCGGTTGTTCAGGCCATGCCAAGCCCTCCAACGTTAGATGACGATCCAGAGGAGAGGGGTGTGAAGCTTGGTTTAGGGGACTTCATATTCTACAGTGTTCTTGTTGGAAAGGCATCAGCAGCAGCAAGTGGAGATTGGAATACAACTCTAGCCTGCTTTGTTGCCATATTAATTGGTTTGTGCCTTACTCTACTGCTACTTGCCATCTTTAAGAAGGCTTTACCAGCACTTCCAATATCCATTACATTTGGGCTAGTTTTCTATTTTGCTACAGATAACTTGGTACGTCCATTTATGGACCAGCTTGCTTTTCATCAGTTTTATATATAGTATTTTTTTTGTAGGGAGTATTTCAAAAATGTACTGTAATTATATTGTAATCCTGAGAACTGGAAAAGGGACTTTCATAACTGATCAAGAATATAACCATATCAGAAGTGGAGACAATAAAGCAATGTTGAACCTGTGTGGACTATAATTGTTACCTGCTTAATTCATTGGATTTCTGATCAAATTATACCTGACGTACTTCAGAAGCAATGTACAGTGCGGGAGAAATCTGTTTCTGTGGAACGTGAACCCTGCTGTTTCTGTGGGACTTGAACCCTGTAAGCAATTTGAAGACCTCAATCCATCTGTGCTGAAGTTTGATGCAGGGTTGGTTGGTGCGGGATGGCGATGGGAACATTTTAATTATTTGAAAGCAGGAAATGAAAAATAAGTTAACAAAATACTTTTTTTAAGATGCACTGTTTACTGCATAAATCATTTTTGAATATTTTCCAGAACCATTTTCCCTGAGGTGATCTTTCTCAAGTCATTAGATGTGTGACTTCTTGGGCAGATGCATGATGAACTTTTTGCTTTTGTCTTGAATCCAGGTTTTCTGAATAATAGCTAAACTAATACAAATGTATTTTTTTTCTCCCCATTTTACCCCAGTGAAATACCAATCATGCCATGCATTTCCTGAAATGTATTTGGAAAATAATGTACATGAATGTATTGCAACTTTTTTTAAAACCTAGTTAGGTTCAGAATGAAATTAAATTGAATTATGGTCGTTGACTAGCAGCAATTAAAATTTAGTGATCCATCAATCTTCGACTGTAGCCTTTATCTGTCAACACTGAAGGGTTTCTTTTTTGGGGCTTGGGGCATGGGGTGTGACAACAGATTGAAAAGTACATCATTAAATGTTCTATAGCGAGGTGACTGTACATTTATGCAAAGTACAATATCAAATTTGACATTTGTGGAGTCCTGTAGCTCAGTGGTTAGAGCACTCGCTTTGCAAGTGAGAGACCTGAGTTCAATTCCAGGCACAGGGCGAGACCTTGGGCAAGTTTCCTTACTCCACACAGAGCCTAATAATAATCCCTCCAAAAATCAAAAACAATAATTAAATTGGTCATTTTCAATCTACGACTGTTTGTGGGACATTGCTGTGCGCAATTGGCTGCCGCGTTCGCCCACAAATGTACAGTCAATTCACTTTACACTGTGTTCTGTGAAGCGCTTTGGGACGTCCTCCCGACGTGAAAAGCGCTATATCAAATGCAGGGATTATTATTATTATTATTATTATTATTTCACCAATTACTTGATGTAATTGGTGCCTTTTTAATGGTCCATTCAAATCCTCCCCTCAGTTGTCCAATAGGGGACAAGTGCACTTCCGATCCCTACTTTGCATATTAGAATGGTAAATAACCCACCAAATTGTTGCAACCAACACCTTTGGACACTTGATGGCAGCGCAAGTATTAAACACAACATTAACTACATTAAAAAATATATTTAAAGGGCTACTCAATATATTTATAATACGCATGCACCAGTTCTACCAAACTTCGGCACTTTCCGAGTTACCCTGAGCACAGTTGGTAATTATTAACCACACTCACACTGGTTAATACTTTTAGCGAACACATAAACTTCACAGAACATATTTTAAACAACAGACAGGCATAAAAATCAAAGGATTGGGTGACTGACAAGCAGGTGGCAGAAGCGCTTGGTGTGGGCTCTATCCCCACTCGCATTACACAATGGGCAGGTATACCTCCTCAGAACTGGGCATATAATCTTTCCCTCGTTGTCTTTCAGAGCGTGAGAATTGTAGATGTGTTCTGATTCCCTGTTCTGTTTACAAAACGCACAAATGTTCTTTAACTTGTGGCTTGCCTTTTAACTGCGCTGTGTGTCAGATGGTGGCAGGACAACTCTGTTGCTCGGCTTAGAAGTAAGTTCAGGCTGGCTTTCCTCCATTCCATCAGGACTGATCAAAGTGTTTGTCGCAATTGTGGAGTGAAATTGATCTTCCAGGGATCTGCCCATTTCTCCTCCAGGCCTAACTGTAGGGCTGCCCCTGCTGCCGGAATTCTGACCAAATAGAGCTGCCTGTCCTCTATTTGTGTCACAATTTAGAAGATCTGTATTCGTATGTTGTGATTCCGTGCTACCATTCACCAAGCCTGGTCTTCCCAATTCTTCCTTCTACCTTCTCTCTGCACCCACTGTGCTCAGTCCAGTCAGTGGATCTATTCTGAGTTGTCTTGTTATAACTGTTATTGCTCAAAGCTGTTGCCTCATGTTGTGATGGAAATAGACTCTCGTATTCCCATCCAGCTTCTCATGTCCCTGCTGGTTGGATAGTCCAGGTTCTCTTGAATTGTTCACCATGCGTCCAGATGCAATAATGTTTCCAAACACTTTATTCAGTCCCAGTCCACAGATTGAATGCAGCACCTGGCATCTCCATCAGTGTGCTTTGTCCTACAGTTAATATTAGTATCTGATTGAGTGAGGAGTCTTGGAGAGGTGGGAGTAGTTTGTGCAGTGCAAAGGAGCCTTTCACCAATGGCGGCGCAGGAGGAGCTGGAATTCATAGAATCATAGAATTATACAGCATAGAAGGAAGCCATTCGGCCTATTGTTCCTGTGCCGGCTCTTTGAAAGAGCTATCAGAATTAATCCCACTCCTCCTCTCTCTCCCCATGGTCTTGCAAATGTGTCCTCCCCAAATATCTATCCACTTCTCGCTTGAAAGTTGTTATCGAATTTGCTTCCACCACCCTTTCAGGCAGTGCAGTCCAGTTCTGAACTGTGTGTGAAGAAAGTTCTCCTTATCTCCCCTCTGGTTCTTTTGACAACTATCTTAAATCTGTGTCCTCTGGTTACCGAACAACACGCCATTGGAAACAGTTTCTTCCTGTTAACTCTATCAGATCCCCTTATAATATTGAACACCTCCATTAAATCTCCCCTTAACCTTCTCTGCTCCAAGAACAACAACAACAAGATTTTGTTTATAGAGCGTCTTTCACGTCGGGAGGACATCCCTTGGGTCCTTGCGCTGGACAGTTGGGTCAGGACTCGAGCTGGGGGGAAATGGTCAGGGTGAGGGGAGGGAAGGGATGGAGCGAGGAGGGGGTAGAGAGTTGAGAGGAGAGCTGAAGGCACGGAGGGCACGGTCCCTCCCTTCTTTCAAGGCACGTCAAGACCTAACTGTTTTCCCCTCCCCATCCCACCTCCCTCGGCCCCCCACGCCCAGCTCGGGTGCCCATTCGGCAGTGTCGAGTGCTTTGAGACGTCCTTCCAATGTGAAACAGGTGCTGTTTAAATGTTATGTTTATAGAATGTAAACAAAACATATTGCTTGTGGGGCCTGCAGATTGTTTCTTAATAGGGAATCCACCCCTCGGCAGCCAACAGGTTGGACCCCCACCACCCAATGGACTTAGACCAATGTTGTCATGGAGCCATGAGCCACACGTGGCTTATGAATGGATTTTGATGTGGCTTACAGCCACCTCAGCCGAAAGCATGTTTCTCCGATACTTCCAGCTGACAATATGCTTACAGAGACGTGTGCGTGGCTATTTAAACGTGTTATGTGTATGTGGTAAACAGTGAGAGTTTGATTCCTGGCAGGGCAAAACTTTTGGCAAGTTTCCTTGCTCCACACGCCTCTGTCTGCCCAGCAGTAAGTAGGAACGCAGTTGTTAATCAATTGACAGATTGCTTTTCCGGGTGTAATAATTCCTTGAAAAAAAATAGTTTGGTCACTCAATCTACGACTGTTTGTGGGACACCTTTGTTCGCAAATGGCTGCCGCGTTTCGCCCACAGACTATAGTCAATTCACTTTACAATATATTCTGTGAAGCATTTTGAGACATTTTGAAAACGTGATTAGGCACTAAATCAAATGTAAGGATTAATATTATTTCTCTCGTCAGGCTTTTCAATTGAAATAGATATCTAAAGTAATGCTTGTCCAATCATACTAAACCAGTATACTCAATTGCTACATGTTTTTTCATTACAAAACAATGATGTAGATTTGTATATTAAACCCACAATTCCCACAAACTGTTGTCTGTGTATTTAAACGAGTATAAAATAAACTAATAAGACATACCCTCAAATACATGGCAGTGTTTGGTCAACTCTAGCCCTGCAGTGAGGGGCCTGGGGTGAGGGCCCTGGGGTGAGGGTGAGGGGCCGAGGCCTGTGCTCACACTCCATGACCATCTCCAGGCCGCTGCCCTGGCTTGGCGTTGTGCTCTGCCACTGGCAAGTGATCTGGGGAGGGACCCTGCATGAGGGGTGCTATATAAAGGCACGTTGTTGTAAAAAAAAACAGGGCAATCAGTAAAATATGACATTTCTGAGTGTTATTAGAATCATAGAATTATACAGCGCAGAAGGAGCCATTTGGCCCATTGTGTCTGTGCCGCTCTTTGAAAAGACCTTCCAAATCAACCCCACTCCCCCGCTCTCCCCCCATAGCCCTGATCAGCCCCACTCCCCCGCTCTCCCCCCATAGCCCTGCAAACTTGTCCTCCTCAAATAATTAGCTACTTCTCTCTTAAAAGCTGTTATTAAATCAGCTTCCACCAGCCTTTCATTGCGGGCAAAGCTTCCATTATTTCCACCCTGACTTCCCTCAGTAACCTGGGATGCATCCCGTCCGGACCGGGTGACTCATCTACCTTGAGCACCGACAGCCTTTTTAGTACCTCTTCTCGCTTTATTCATATTCAATTTCTCTACCCTCTCCTCCGATACTGTGACCTTGGCTGCGTCCACTTTGTTTTGTGAAGACACATGCAAAGTACTTATTCAGTACATCAGCCACGCCCTCTGCCTCCACAGGAAGATTTCCTCTTTGGTCCCTTATTGGACCCACCCGACCTTTGACTAACCTTTTATTCTGTATCTGCTTATAAAATACCTTAGGGTTCCCTTTTATGTTACTCCCTAATCTTTTCCCATACAATCTCTTTGCCCCTCTTATTTCCTTTTTCAGTTCTCTTCTGTACTTTCTATATTCTAATTGATTATCTTCTGTATTTTGGACCTGACATTTATCATAAGTCTCTTTTTTCTGTTTTATTTTAATCCCAATTTCCTTGTTCATCCAGGGAGGTTTGGATGCCCTCCTTTGCGCTTTGTGGGAATGTATTTGTTCTGTCCCCGAACTATCTCCTCCTTGAAGGCTTCCCATTGCTTGTTAGCTGCTTTACCTGCCAATCTTTCTTTCGAGTCCACCTTGGCTTCCTTTTAAACTCACTGAAATTAGCCTCTTCCAGTTGAGTATCTTCACCTTTGATTGTTCCTCGTCCCTTTCCATAAGTACTCGAAACCTAATGATGTTGTGATCACTGGTGTCCAGATGCTCTCTGACTGAAACTTGCCCCACTTCATTCCCCAGAACTAGATCCAGCACTGCTTCCTTCCTCGTTGGGCTGGAAACGTACTGATCCAGAAAGTTATCCTGCACACATTTCAGGAATCCTTCCCCCTCCTTGCCTTTTACACTGTTATTTTGCCAGTCTATGTTAGGATAATTGAAGTACCCCATTATCACTACTCTGTTGGTTTTGCATCTATCGGAAATCTGCTGCAGATTTGCTCGTCTATCTCCTTCCCACTATTTGGTGGTCTGTAGTATACACCTAACAGAGTGACAGCTCCTTTTTTGCTCCTTAATTCTAAAGAAATAGATTCTGTTTTTGCACATTGTCCCTTTCCAGGACTGTAGCTGTGTCTTTAATCAATATTGGCACCACCTCCCCAATCTCTTTTTTCCC